GCAGATCCTGGGTGGTTGGCACCCAAAGGACCTTGGCAGAGGCTGGGGTGGGCTGGGCCTTCTCTTCCCACATCTGTATTTATGTAATATGTGTCTCCAGAAGGCCCCGATGGAGGGTTCTAAATCCTCCCTTACTGTGCCATCTGTGGTCCTCCCAAACACAAGTTAGGGCACTGCCTCCTCAAAAACCTGCAAGGGTTTCCCAATGCCTTTGACAGAAAAGGCCATGAGTGGGTGCCAGACAACTGTCACAGGACCTCATGCTCCAGCCACACCAAGTCACTTCTTGCAGCCTAGGCACTTTCCCTATTTCCCCCATCAGGCGGAATAGTGAAGGAGTTAATAGTGTGGGCTTGGAAGCTAAACGACCTGCGTTCAAATCTTCCTAATTAGGTAATACTTACTGGATTTACTAGACTTTACAGCTGTGACTCAGCTTCTTCATCTGTAAAGTGGGGAAAGAGTGATTCCTGTTCATGGAGCTATAGTTAGGATTCAGTGAGTTCCCGGGCGTGACGCTCTTGGAATGAGTCCTGGCACTTGGTTAACAATGAACAGGGTGGGAAATTTCAGCAACAGAATTCTCCTCATCACACAGGGCTAGGTTCAATGAAACCTTCACACACAGGTTCAGCCTTCCAAACCAGAGATGGTGTCCACCCGCTCTGTTTCTCACAGCCCATGCTAGTAGATAGCCAAACTCCACTCTATTTTGCTAACACCTACATTAATTAAACTGTGAACATTTGGAAGACAGACACCTACTCTAATGCATGTTATTTTGTAACCCTCAGAGATCTTCTTCAACATCTCAATGCAGGAGGTTTTCACTAAACATATGCTGGATGGAAATTCATCTGAGAAAGGAAGAGAATCAGACACCTGAAATGCACAGCCTTGGTGGGTTCCACTTGAGGATACAGTGTAGGAGCCCAAGCATTGTCTCCCCACTGTCTACCCACCCACCTACCCACCCAAGAAATAGTCTCAGAAGCTAAAACACATTTGAGATGCTGCGGCTTGAAAGTGGCCACGGGAAGAACCAAGTGTGATTGTAACCTGGGCACGATGTAGGGAATCCATGAATCTAGTCAAATGATATCAAATGAACCTTTTTTATTTCTCCTAGAGGAGCTTCCTAGAGAGTTTTTTTTTGGGGGGGGGGATTAGGAGGGGGGAAGGTCTGGGTGTCATTTATTGACAGCAGTTTACACACATTTGTTTTCTTCAAAGCACAGGTTCAGAGCCCTCTGGTAGGGCAGTCTCAGAATGAGAGAGCCAGGAACGCAGGACACACATCTTTGGCAGGCATGATCGGCCTCGGCAGGATGCAATCCTTCAACATGGAATTCCACTGGGTATTTGATAAACACCGAGGTAGAGGGGTTTTCATTGGATGTTCAATGGGGTCTGAGAGATGACCCCCACACAAATTAAGAGTCCTTGACTTAGTTATTTAGAGACAAAGTTCTTGCCCCAGAGCGTCTTACAACTGAGGGAAGACATAGCTTATCCTTACAAGGCACAAACCCACCAGTCAGGGAGAACTGAGCAATGGGTGCTTGGTGAATATGGAGGAAGCTGGGAGAGCCTCCTTAAACGGTCCCATGTGAAAAGACCAACAAGGAGGCAAATAACAGGGCCCTGGGAATCTCTATGGCCCACTCCTCCCCAGAGGCTCTGAAGTCCAAGGTCATCTATCAGGACACAGGAATCCCTGGCTTGGAGCATAGACACTTGCCATTTAGCTCAGTCTGACTACAAGAGCTGTTTTCTGTCAGGGTGACTAAAAAACATACTGTCGGGATCCAGGCACACAAAATGAGGCTGTTCACCTAATGACTGTGCTGAGAGTTAAGTGACACTTAAAAATCAGGGTAAGCCTGATGCCAGAACAAAAGGGAGACAGGGACCCATTAGTGCTGAGTCCCAGCAGCACTGTACGCTGGCAGATAGTTTGCAAGGAACCCTCGTGCAGGAGGCTGTTTTATTTGCGGAAGCCACAGTGGTAAATTAAAGCCCATCCTCGCCCGTTCTGGGCTCTCCAGTTTCTCTTGGAGCTATTCCTACCACTGCCCCATAGGCCACTAAACCTGCTCACATTCAGAATGATTGATTCTGTTCAAACAGCAAGCCACAAACTCACGTCGAAAAACCCACTTCAAATACGTCATTAGCTTCCTTTATGGATGCTTCAGGTCACAAGGAATAGGACCTGGGAGTCGTATCTTCTGTAAAGCAGACAGGGAGTGTTTGAAGAGGTAGGCGGACCTGGAGAAGCCACAGGGCACTGCATGATCCCCTGTTTTCTCTCATTCAACAGGAGGGATCCTACAAAAAAAGTCCTGGCAACCCTATTGCCAGTGCCAGAGAGTCAAACCCAACCAAACCCACCGTTCTTCACTCATGCACTGAAAAGGAAGGAAAACAGACTGGGCTTCATACCCTGTCTGTGCTCCCACATCAGAGTATGGAGGACACCTGGGATGCAGACAGTAGTGGAGAAGCGTCTGAGACTTTCTGACCTGTCACGAAAGAGCCCATTCCAGCTGAAATGCAACTGAGAGACCCCTGTGGCTGGTGGGGTAAAGTATCCCGGTGACAGGAGCTGTGGCCACAGCAGCAGCTCAAAGGCACCAGCACCAGAAATGCAAGTTCTGTAGCTTGGCAAGTTTCAGCTCACCGCCTGACCCACGTTTAGCAATTCTGATGTACCATGGAAGAGACAGCTCCAGCCCAGGATGACTGCCTCCCTCAGCCCCTCTCCGGCAGGCAATGAAAGCTAGACCCACTTTGAAAATTCTCCCCCATCATGCAAACTGACATAGGCATGCTTTTCAAAAACCCACAGCCAATCTGTTGATCATTACTTATTTACAAAGGCCTTCAGGCAGAAAGTCCTGTAAAAACCATACTTGATACGGTATACACTAGCTTTTTCTGCTTGTGGAAAAAAAGTCCCCTCAAGGCTACCTCAAACCATCACTTTCTATTGCACATAAAATGTAGCGTGTAACACTAAAGTATTTAATATATATGGTATAATATATCTACAGGAAAGGCATTTGTGTAGAAGTATGTTACCCTGGATTTGGTAATTTGATGTTTTGCTGAAGGCTACGACTTAAAAAAGCTTCCACCACGTACAGAAGACCTGTCATCTTGGTACCCAAGAGCCAACAGAATAAAGAAGTACCCTTAAGCAGCAAAACTTTGACACAGCTTTGAAGCATATGAAAACAGTGTAACTCCTCAGAATTATTATTACTCAAGATCAAAGAAATGAACCATACTTTACATAGCAAACAGGGACAGGGAATTTGGCTCCAAAGATTTCAGATTTTTCAGACTTCTTTTTATTTATTTATTTGTACCTCTAAATTTAGGCAGAAGAAGGCACTGGGGCTTTTCTCTACTTTAAATGGATAAAACTATTAGCATTAGATAAGGCGATTACCTAAAGGTGAGTAAACAGGAAATGCTTGCCGGCCTGACAACTGGCTTCATGAGAATGAGAAGCTTGGCAGTTGGTGCATGTTATTCCTCCTCATAAACTGTAAACAAGCATGTAAATCGGCGAGACCAGAGCAAGACTGAGCAAAGGGGAAGGCAGAGAACGGTTAAGGAAACATTTAACAGGAAGAGATGGTTATAATGGGAAAGGGCATGGGGCTGGATGAGTCTTCCACAGGAACTTGAGTCCTTGGCGGCATGGAGGACTGCCCATCTGCGCCCAGAAAGGCTCTTGGGAAGGCCACGAAGATGGGAATGTGTGGGATAAGGGGGGAAGAGGGGAAAAGTCACCATCACTGTATCTCAATACCAAAAGGTAGGAGAATGGTCAATGCAGGTGCAAAGAAGAAAGTAACATCAAGATGGCAGGTGTTTCCAAGGTAGTGACCATCTTACAGAGAGCAGTACTGATCTGAGATCACCCCTGCTTCACTGAGGCGCTAGAGGGTTGGGATGTTGGAGGGAAGAAGCCCTGGGATTGGCAGATGAGTCAAAGACAAAAGCAGGAAGGTGAAAGATAAGGAAGCCAAGAAGAGGAACTTGCAGAACTCTGTTGAAATTTGGCTTCACTTACAGAGGTACCCAACCTGCGGCCCACAAGCCACATGCAGCCCAGGATGGCTGTGAACGCAACCCAACACAAAATCGTATATTTACTTAAAGTATTATGGGATATTTCTGCGATTGTGTTGCAGTGTATTAAATGTGTGCCCCAAGACAACTCTTCTTCTTCCAGTGTGGTACAGAGACACCAAAAGGTTGGACACTGCTGTATAAAACTACAGTCAAGGTAGCAAGAAAGAGAGAAAAGGGGAGGGAAGAAAGGAAAGGTGGAGAGAAGAGAAGAGAAAGAGAGAGAACACACTGTACTCCATAATTAATATTGCTTTTAGCCTGAGCAGATCTGTATTACTTTTGAACTTTGCTTTGGCAAGTCCACAGATTATTAGATTTTTTTTTCTATCAGTCAAAATCAATTAACAGAAATTTGATTTCAATGGACAGGATAAAAGGAAGGTAATCTTCAGGTTCATTTTTGATTGTGATGATACATCTCACATATGGCCTTAAGTACAGACAACAGTCCTCGGAGAGACTCCAGCAGAAAGAGAATAGCTGGAGGCGAACTAACCACATGAGTTCCTCTGATTGGTTGCCACCATCATTAGTGCCACTGCTGTTTAGGAAGTACACACAGACAGGACACGGTGACAGCTAAGACTTTAAAGCCTATGTATTTTTCAAACAGCTTTTCAAACTGTTTTTCATGACAGAATTTTTTCAGCTCTATCATTAACTGCTGACAAGCTGACAGAATAAATACTCCAGCCTTTAAGAAGCCATCTAACGATCCCATCCCCACCCCCCGCCTCCCGCTTGCTGCAGAGAGGAGGCCTTGGGCCTGAGTCTGGGCAGGATGGGGAGGGTGAGAAAGGCAAGGGAAGGAGCTAGAGGGGAACCCCCGTGGCCTGAGGCCCCCTCCTTACCTCATCAGCTTGGGCGAGGAGCTGGGGGAGTTCCGCATGCCTCCATTCCGTTGCTTTTTTTTTGGTGACAGCGTTGAGGGCTGCTCATCTTCAACTGGAAATACAGGCAGCTCATGAGATTATGAACAGTTTGAGGGCAGACTGAGAAATACAGGCAAGATATCAAAGGACACACACTCATGGCTCAGTCACTCACTAGGAACTCATGACTGTCTTTTAGGACCCAATAACAAAGACCAAATATGTTAGTCCAAGAAGCCGGCTTAGGAAAGGTGAAAGCATCACCTCTTTACACTCCAGCATTTGAACATGCACTTCAAACAGACTACCACAGTTTGTAAATACCCTGCCATAGAAAGAAAAGGAGTAGTGATTTATCCATATACAGAAAATGCATATATGGGGGTATTCAATCAGTATTCGTAGAGATAATTTTGGTTACTTTGCTCGGATGGGTAATTGAATGGGTTTTCTTGTAACCAAAATCAGATAATAAAGTTGTGTTTGAAATAGCAGCACAATAGCTGACAGCCTGCTGCTTCTGCCAGTGAACCAACTTAACTGGTTCCTAATCCCTGTGCGCCAGAGAAAGAGCCTTGGAGAGAGGCAAGGATTTGAGGCCTTGACAGCCAATGTTTCAATCACTCAGGACTGGGAACATTGGAGCATGCTGGCCCGAGAATCCCCAGCCCAATTCAGCTCTTGTCCCCCCACCTTCAAAAAAGGAGGGCTGCACACATGGGACTTTTCTTAACTTAGTAAGACAGGAGGACCGGGCAGTGAGGTTGGAGGACTGGGCAGGGGAAGAGCACCCGAACAAAGGAGGAGGTTGCCATTGAATGATATCTCTGATGATGTGGTGAGGGGTGGGAGGGAGGGCAGCACAAGGGATTGGAAACCAAAGGCTGTTTTCCAAATGTCAGAACGACACAGGTCGCTAAGCAATGCGAAGCTTCGCTCACACACAACACAGCATAGTCTACTGCCTTTGCCCAAAGACACCACTAATAAGCTCTGTAGATGTATTAGCCTGCATCATGCTTCTTTTTAAGAGAGTTGCCTGATAATTAGTAGATGCGTACCCAGCCTGTCACCCAAGGGCATCGGTGGCAAAATTCTAGTCCTCCTCTCCCCACCCCCACAATTCAGGCTAAAGCTGTAATGTCAAAAAGGAAAAAATAGGATCCTCGGATTCTTATAGTTGACTGCAACACAGACTGGGAGGAAGCACCCCTGAAACCCAGAATGCACAGCAGTTACCTTAAAGCTAAGAAGAGAAATATTAGCGGTGACGACATCAAAAGATGCTTGACATTTGTTAATGGTGTACAAGCCTTAGGTTGGAGAGAAAATGTCATCTCAGCTACTTGATATTATCCAAAAGACTCGTATCAGCACATGCATTATATGGTACTTCCCTGAAAACCCTGAATAAATTTAGTATGTTATGATACATTGTTCCAAAGGGATTACAGTAATCCAAGTACTCTCTGCACCTGCTTCAAAGTATCACACTTGGCAACCCCCACCCCCTGCCATTCTACTGTCAGTCTGAAGCTGCCTAAATCCTGGCTGACACAGGAAAAGGGAACAAGAATGTTGTTCAAGGTGAGAGCTATTCCAGAAGAAATGAAGGCAAGAAAGCACCTGTAAAGGTCCACAGCCCACTAATGCTACCACCTGCGCCCCATTCCCCTCAGAGGCCCATGCCCGGGCTGCGACCGTATCAGTCACCTCGGGCTCCCGGCAGGAACTATGTGCCTGGGAGGATAGTGCCTCTTATCAGAAATGAGTATCCACAGCAAATCACACTGAAACTAAACAGCACTTAAAAGATTAAAGGAAATAAATACAAGCCACATAAATGGTATTGAAAAAAATCACTTAGAGTTGATATGCATCTCTCGGTGAGCAAACAGGCACTCTGAGCTTGACCTGAATTCATCTTCTTTTCACAGGACAAGGGGCCTGGCATCCCAGGCAATAATGGGGTAGAAAGGCAGCGAGGTTGAGATGGAGAGAGATTGGGTGTGTGTGAGTATACTTTTGCACATTCGCCATCTTAGAATGGGGTAGAAAATCTTGCACTGACTCCACCCATAATACAAGGTCATCCTTTAATGTGGAGCACATGCAACTCTTGTATTATGTTCAGGGTGACCTAGATTAGTTGAGTAGCATGTCAGACTAAATAGCAAGTGTGCATGGGAGTGGGTCCAGTGGGGGTGAAAGTTTTTTCTTCTCTACCACACAAACTTTTTAATGGTTAGAATGAAGGAAATATCCAAAAGTGTCTTTCACCTAGTCTACTATGGCTAACTTTATATTTATTCAAGGTCGCCAGATGTTGCCACGGTTTTTTCTATATCAGTCAAGACCTAAAAAAAAGTCACACTCTCTGGTATTTCCACTGGATTCTTTTGCTTAACTTTTATTTTCCCACTTGCACTGGGTCCACAATAAATAACCCTCTTTGGGTAAGAGCCCGTTATCCTTGCACCTCGTTGTTGTCTGTTTACCTGCAGGGATGTTCGGATGGAAGACTTGCAAGTTAATACCTGTGAGCCAGGTCCAGGGAGACACCTCGTTCTGGTGCTAAAATAATGCCTCCTTCTATGCAAGGAAACTATTTATTTTCATTGCAAGTCAGAAAGATCATCCATCACAATCATACTGCATTTAAACTGGGATTTGTTCTCTTAAATGAAACTCATGTTCAAAGATTTCCTCCCGCACTCTCGGCCTGGAAATGCAGATCTGTTCCCTGAAGAGACGGGCGGGGGCGGGGGGGCGGGGAACGTCTCCAGCTTAAACATATGAATGCTGTGGAACGGAGACTGTTACATGTAGCTCAGATCCCACAAGAGAAGCAGTGATCACTTCCTTCTCATAAGTAGGATATAAACCATATTTAATTATTATCCTCTATATAGAGTCTTTCAATTTCAGCATATTTAAAGAAAGCAAATCTAGAAAAACTTTTAGTTAAGCTATAAAATATAATTTTCATTTTATGGCTTCTGTGACTACATGAGGGGCATAAAAACTGAATTAAAAAGGAGACTTAAATTTACATACTTTCAGCACAGACAAATGTACTGAAGGCATGGGCAAGCACCCAATGCCAATGCACATTCACAGGCTCGTGTTTAGCCTGCTTTGTGGCTAATTTCAGTACACCTCTGTCTCCGGCATTCTCGCTTGCATCACGCTGTGGAAACCTCAGGAAGATACGATCTGTTAAAGGAACCTGACTTACCAGCTTCTTTAAAACACAAACAAGTTCAGGAATCCAATGTAGAATTTTTATAGGGGCTGAACTCCATCCAGTCTCCAAGTACTCATAAAATTCAAGGGCTTGTTTTTGCACATCCCTAAGTATAGCACTTAATGTGCTGTTGTAACTTCCCAGCGCTCGCTTGTCTAATAGGCACCGAATCGAACAGTTTTACAGTTTGGGAAGACTCAGCGCTAGAAAAATGTCAGGCAAGTCTAATGAGGCTTCAGATCCCTTGGTTGGCGCTAGAGTTTAATTTAAAGTTACAATGATGTTTTAACATGTTTGCTTATACTTGACTAAAGAGGATTCATTATTTCGATGACATAACCTCCAGACAATGTTCTGGGAATTGATTTAAGATGTGGTGGTAATTCCAACAGCCTTAAATGCAGAGTTGAACATCTGTAACAACATTTTACTTGACTTTTCATCGTCATTCTGTTTTCAAGCAAAAGCAAAGCAACATCTTCCAGAAACACCGGCCAGAACTCTGGGCTTACTTCAAGATGATCATATATTTTACTGAGTTTAAAAAAAAAAAAATCCCTTTCTTTATTGGCCTGGCCAGCTTGCACACTGTACCAAGGCTCACCAATGCCTCTTTGTGGGCCCTTTGAATAAAATAGGCAATGATTTCCACTTTCAGCTTTCCCAAATAATCCAGTGCCCGATACAGGATGAACTCATTGCTCAGCTCCAGCCTGGGGCACATTCTTTCTTCCCTGTTTCCTCAACAGGGTTTAGTGCGATGATGCCCTTTGAGACTTAAAGGTGAGTTTGTTGGCTGGAGTTAAGAAACAGTTCAAAGCAAATAAACTCAGAAACGTAATAAAAGGCAAACGACCCATAAACGTGGGTTGACCGGCTATCTCCATTACGTTATTAATCACCACATCTGGAGAAACCCACATCTGCACACACTTAGCAGGTCATTAGTAATGTCATATTCACACTGGAATCACTCAGAGTAAAAGGCATGCAAAGTGGCTTGAACGTAAAAGGCATCTAGCTAACAGGGCTTCCGACTGAAGTCTTGAGCAAGCTGCTAGTTTGTGGGCATGGTAGTTTTAATTATTATTTATTGTTCTTTATGGTTTTTCTCTTTGGTATTTTGCTGCCCATTACAAGTTAAATGCATGCTGAAATCCACAGTAGTGCATCTGTCTTCTTCAACTGAACTCAGCATGTTAAGGTAGAGCATTGAGGGCTGCAGGGCAGTTATTAAAAACTGGGATGGGTTCCAGGACTCCTTCACCTGGCTTGGTCACAAGCCGAGAATTGTGAGTTGCGTTCTTGAACTCAAATGGGTCTTTGGAATAGCGTGATCTAGCTTCAACCTTGACTGCCAAACAATAATGAGAAAAGAAAATGGAAATTAATCCTTTGTGAAATTTTTCATTAGAAAAGTTGCAAACCAGTTTTAACATGGAATAGAATTACAGCTTTAAGTTAACATGAGAGTTTCTTCCTCACAGCTACATTGAGAGTTTTTTTTTTTTTCCTTTTCTGTTACCCTGATGACTTCTTAAAATTCTTTTTGCTGTGGTACTGTCATCAATGTCAGAAGGGATAATATATCAGAAGACAATCTTGTTTGTGCAGTAATTTACAAAAATATACAGAGTTTCCCTCTCCCTTACAACGTACAGAGACATGGAAAACTTTGTTTAGCAGCAAGATGAGACCCATTTTCTCCCAAAGTCTGCTAAAATGCATCCCACTACATGATCATTATATTCCAAATCATCAACCTGTAATGTTAAACTATCGTTTTCATCTCAAACCACTGGGTTGGTTCAGCCCCTTGGTTGCAATACTTGGTTGGACATCAATGAAATGTGGATGTGTGTTTTTAGTTTTTCAGGATGTGAACGTTCCTTTATTAAAACTGACGATAAAGAGAGGGCAAAATTGCTGGACAGGACATTGAAGAGTATGCTTCTTGATTTCTGTGGGTTTATCAAACTTCCCAAGAAAAAAATCATTATCAGTCGTACTCATACAGACATTTGGCAACATGTAATTCCAATGGACAGAACTCCCAAAGTGATCCAACCTCCCCCTAATATGGACGCCCAAGACTTTCACCAGAAAGTCTGGGCCACTTAACTTGAAGGTCTTAGAGCTGGCACTGGGGCATGGGATGGAGCCTGTTTTATGGAGGGACATTTCCTGGCTCACAGTCGTGGATGACCAGAACCCTGGCTGCCTAACACACACACCAGGCTAGTGGGAGGGTGAAGGTGTTTCCTTTAGCAATGAAGGAAAATCAACTACAACAAGAAACACACACCAGATAAATAACCTATAGGGTGAGTTTGTTCCTATCATTCCTGTAAAGGAACACTTGACTGCTGTTTCAGGATGTGTCCCCTCGTGGGGAATGCCATGTGCCCACCAGTGAGGCTGGGTAGCTGAACATGGCTAGAGGAAGGTAAGACAGCCACATTCCATGCCTGGAGGATCGGTGGGCAGCTCAATACCTGAACACAGGGAGTTAAAGCGGGTGAGATCCTGGGAATGAGAGTTTCTGCTCTGACAACCTTGGGATAGCATACATCACCAGGAAGTTCGGTAAACACATTGCAGTATTATTGATAGGATCAATCTCTGTTTTTGAAAGATCATGGAGAATATTAATACACAGATAATGAAAAGATGAAAGATGCTGCCTCTCAAAAGCAATGCCAACAATAACACAACCTCCAACATACAGGTAACACTACAATTGAGCAATCGCTTTATCATTTACATTATCAGGCAGGATAATTTCACAACCTCTAGATGAGAAAGAAGAAATACACTTATATGGAAAACCTAGAGGGTATAAGTTAAAGAAAAAAACCCCCAACAATCTGCTATTATATACGATGAGGATCTCCAAGTGGGCCACCCACCCCGCTGCAGGCTGAGGGGGCAGGGAAGGGAGGTTTGCTGGAGCTTTTTCATTTCTGGCTTTTATGGAGCTAATAGGAGCGTGGAGAGGGAGACTTTAAGGAACAATAGGTTATGTAGAAGTTAATCGCAGGGTGTATTTCTGGCTTTATTCACTGCCTAGCAAACCTGAATTGTTTAAGTTTGAGTTCATCAACAGAGTAATGAAAGAATTTAGCTCCTACATGGGAAGAGAGAAAAGTAGTATATAAATATATTAACAGATTCTACATGACCTGCATTGCAATGTTTTCTACAGAAACACTGTGGGCCTAACAAATCTTCTAGAATCAAATTGGGAGAGTTGATGTACCTACCATACCCTCCCCCTTCCATCTCATCTCAAACCATAAGCCTGATCTGTATGTATCTTGGTAAGAGTCCAACATTCATCAAAGTCCCAGTATCTAGAATCTCAGCTCATATATCTTCACTAAAAACTTGGCCTGCTGTAATAACTTGCCCAATGCTGTTCTACTCAGTATTTGGTAGAAAATTCCTTTTGGAGATCTGGTTGCCTTTTGCTCTTTTCCTTCTTTTTTCTTGGAACAGACTATCTCAAGCACCTCAAGGGCAAAGAAAAGTCTCGCGCAAAGATCACTGGGAATTAGCTTCTCAGAGAGAAGACAGGGATGAGCAACAAAAGTCTAAGAACAAATATACAACTGAAATGAGAAATGAAAGAGTTTCCTTGAATTATTGCTATGGAACTTGGAGACTGGGAAGGTAGTAGATGAAAGATAACTGTTACTTTGATTAAACTGGGGAAAATGTACAAGAGCCCAACAAAAACAGCCTCTTTTCACCTTTCCTTCTCTCCCTACTCCCAACACCAACAAGCTGGTAAATGATTTGAGGCCAAAAAGTGTACCAGATTCATTTATGTAGCCCTGGCATGGGCAGGGCATGTTCGCCAAGGTTAGGGCTTCTGAACAGAAATGAAATCTGCCAATTCCCTAGCACCAAGAGCTGCCTTCTTTCTTCATAGATTTCTCAAGTTCAGGGGTTGGTTAGTAAACTATAGTCTGGAACATGTTTTTGTATCGCCAAGAGCTAAAATGGTTTTTACATTTTCAAATGGTTGGGGAACAAAATCTAAGAAGAAAAATACTTATTAACATTAAAATTATATGAAATTCAAAGTAGTGGTTATAAATATTTACTAGGACATGGCCACAGCTCTTTGTTTACCTATTGTCTATATCTGTTTTCCCTTTACAACAAGAGTCAAGTGGTTGCAATGGAGACTGTATGGCTGGCAAAGCGTATGATATTTATTAGTTGGCCCTTGTTAGAAAAAGTTTGCTGATCTCTGCTCTTCTCACTTTTTTTTTTAAGATTTTATTTATTTATTTTTACAGAGGGGAAAGGAAGGAGAAAGAGAGGGAGAGAAACATCAATGTGTGGCTGCACCTTGCGCGCCCCCTACCAGGGACCTGGCCTGCAACCCAAGTATGTGCCTTGTACTGGGAATAGAACCGGCGATCCTTTGGCCGGCACTCAATCCACTGAGCCACAGCAGCCAGGGCTCTTCTCACATCTTTTTAAGATTTCCTGTTTTCGAAAAGGACACTGTTTTTTTCCAATCTGCCAAGACAACCAAATGACAAAAGAAACACACACAGAGCCCACTGTAAGGGAAGAAGCTGGGCGGAGTCGGGAGGGATGGAGGCAGTTTAGTGCCTGCAATGCCACTACCACCCAACCTACTATTAGTTCTGCAGGTCCCCGTGCATTTGGGAGAACCAGTCAGGTGAGCTTCCCTTTTTCTAGCTCAAGCTAAGTTAGACTCATCCACCCTGCACTTCGAGAATCAAGGCGAACCACATCTACCATGAGCAATTCCCTGAAGCTGTCGGTGTCGGCTGCAAGTCCACCCTGCGAGAGAGTCTGGACAAGACAACAGATTAACCATTAGACTAGATATGTTGAAAATATGCAGCTCCAACCTTTCCCCAGCTAGCTCAGAGCGATATATAGATGATTATTTCAACCGTCAGCTGCTGCATAGATTTAAACCCCTGCACAATAACTCCTGGATTCATCTGCCCCTTGTCAAACTTGCACAGCTTTAGTTGGAGGATACATGGTGTGGCAGTTTTCCTGTGAATCCGGAATGATCCAGACGGCTGCTGTCTCTTTGTTAACAGGAAACCAAACTGATGAGTTTGTAATGCATTTCTTATCAAAGGTAGTTTCAGAAAACGTGTCCCATCGGTTTGGTTAGAATTTCACATAGACTAGATTATGGGCTTAATCAGAACATCTCTGTTATTTTCATGAGGAAATAGATAATTTGCACCCATCCCATTAAAATCACTTTATGCCAATGAATTATGTATTTATGAATTTATAATTATCCTTGATTTTTTCCCCCTCCTGCAGTATACTTAATAAAATCATCAGCTGGAGCCTACAAAGCAATGCTGCTTAATAGATACAAGCATGCTAATATATTTTTTTAAGTTAATGCTGATCTTTTTGAGCTATGTGTCTAAAATGATCATTGTGAATAAAGGGATTGCAATTTTCAACTCATACATTTAACAAAGACAAAATGGACTGTAATGGAATTTATGGAGCCTGTAAGGGAACTCTTTCTCTAATATGGTTTATTATCAAATAGATTTGGATTTACTGAAGGACAAATCGGGTCCCTCTGCAATGCATCGAGGGAGAGTAGCTGTGCGTTATAGAACACTGTTCCTGGCACATGGGAAGTGCTTTTAAGAATGCGAGCAGCTGCCAGTGTTCTGCTGTGCTGATTGTTCTAAACCCCTTCTAACTTGTGAAATCCAGGACTTCAATGCTAGTGCTAAAAACGCTACTTACCCTCTTTATTTAAAATCCTGACATTTTGCTCATCATGGATTTATTTTTGCATTTTTATTTTTTAGAAACACTGCATTAAATTACCATTTATCTTAATTACTGGGGGTTTTGGAGCTCCCCTAAGTTTGGTCCCCAGGGTAATGGCCTCACTCCAGTCCTGGCCGTGCCCTGCCCCTCTCCCGAGGGTGTTCTCGGTGCCAGCTCTGCCACCCTGCCTGTCCTTACAAAGAAGTTCTCTTACTCCACACATGTGTCTATAGGCTCCCTTGTTCAGCACTGGACAAGGTGAACATAAAACAAGTGCTATTCTTTTGATCACTTCATGGTGTTTGCATGAGATCGTTAAGGAAGACCCTTGCAAGAAAGGCTTCCTTATGGATTTACAAATTGTCAGACATCCAAAGGAGTGGAGAAAAGATCATGCTGCCTCAGGAATCTGAGATATGCCACCTGCCCAGGTGAGAAACAGAAACAGAGAAAGGTGCAGGTCTCTCATGGACTTTATTTCACACTTCCCATCAAACCCTTCTGGTTAACACGGTTTTGATTTATATCACCACTTTGGGATACAACTTT